GAATTCCAAAAGGTGCTTGCTGAAGTGTTTTATAACAGGCCTGTTAGCAAAGTTAAAGATTGTGTGTAGAAGCAGTGTGGATATTAAACTTGAGTGATGGCAAATAGAATGTAGTGGTAGACAATTTGTTTCCAGAGGAGGTATGCAGTGTTAGAATTAGAATCTCAGCTTAAGTTTAGATATTAATACAGAACTACAGAACAATTTCCAAACTTGACGATGACACGTGGTTGCAAGTATTGTGAACTGTAAGGAGGTTAGGGATAGCGTTACAATCTCAGAGTAAACAGGCAAATTTGTGTTACAATCCCAGCCAAATAGGTCACCAAATTCCATTAAAACGTGCCTTTTTACCAAAGAGTTCAAATCTTTCAGTTTTCAGATCAGACCTTGGAACTCTCTCTGCTCCAAATCAGCCTTTTTGAACAACTCCTTATCTACCAGCGGTTCAGTGTCTCCTCCTTAGATTGGGTTCCACTGGATTCAAACAAAGCTGTGCTTTTGCCTGAAAGCATGATTCCAGGTCAGCTTCTTGCAGCCACCTTTCTAACTACTCACTCTCAAACTACTGTTCATTGACCCTTGAATTATTTCAGTTACTTCAAGAGCATCTTGTTCCTGCTTACTAAGCAGAATTAAATGGAGCCAGCAATGGGATGTCCTATGCCCCAAATGTTACATGTTCACAGATTTCCCAGCTCACCGTGATTTCGAAAATGGATTTTATCACAATAAACTTCAAGAGGGTGTAGATAGGTTGATGCATAGTGATGCATAAAATTTAGTGCAACAAAATATGAAGTCATAAATTTTGGAAAGAAGAACAAGGAGAGGCAACGCCAATAATGTATCTCGTTCTAACAGGAACACAGGGACTTGAAGTGGATGTGTTTAAACCAGTAATGTTGGCAGGGCAGATTGAAAAAGTGGTTAATAAGACATGTAATATCTTGAGCTGAGTAAATAGAAGTATTCAGGCCTGGACTTTCAGTTGAGGAGACTCTGCAGACCTTTTAAAAATGATTGTTGGAATCCAATTCTGGATTCCTGCCCCATTTCCCCAGTGATGCTTTCCAGCCCTAAGTATTTCCCAGGCAGTTTTAATGGATTACCTTAGGCAGTCCAGGTCTAGGTGACCAGATAAGTGATGAAGTCTGACTCCTAGGCTATTGGCTGTACTTCAGGTGTGTTCAGCAATCCAGAAGCAAATTGTAATGCTTTTAAACTTGCCTCTTCTGTGGAGTTCCCTTTAAAACATATTTACATATCACTGAACACACAATCTGCCACAAATCTGTGCATTCTGGCAATGCTTTCAAATGTAATTTTTTTTCAAATTACCTTGCAAATATTCCTTTATATGATTCAGGATGGTAACTAGCTGAAACTGGTTAATTCCAAAGAGCAAACACTAATTTCTGAAGAAGGGCCCCGACTCGAAATGTCAACTTTCCTGCTCCTCTGATGCTGTCTGGCCTGCTGTGTTCCTCCAGCTCCACACTGTGTTGTCTCTGACTCCAACATCTGCAGTTCTTGCTATCTCTGGCTAATTAAGGGTTAGTTGGGTGAGAATTGATTTGTATAAATAAGGCGAGCTGTTGGGATGTGTGTTTTCTGGGATGTAACAAACTAAAATAAAACTTTCACAGCAGATTTGATTTACATTTAAATACTGTTATCTTGTAGTATATAACAACTACATCACACTTAACTACTTACACCCCTGGACTCCTGATAACTACAGCATGCAATCCCCAAACAAGATTCTAACCATCCTACCACCCTAAATCCCCACCCCTTGGTGATCCTAACCTGATTTTCCCCCCTCCCCCAGTCTCCCTGCTAGATCTCAACCACGCAGCTAAGACTGAACATCCGAACCTTCCCCTGATGCCTGCACCTTTTCTGGACCCCAACAACTCTCTCTTCTGCTCCACCTCCCCCCCCTTCACCTGCAACATTGGTTATGCCAGTTTTGGTCAAACACTACCAGAAAATCCAGTGCACCTGGCAGAAAGTCCTGATCCTAGACTGCAGTACAAGTTGGATCAGCTAACAGAATGCTGGATGAAGATGATTCCTCGGTGGTCTAGCCACTTATATTTTCATCAAAGAAGAAAATGCTGAGCAGGTGACTGAATAGCTATAACCATAAGAGGCAGGCAGAACTGGAACTGTCAGATGATCATTTTTCCACTGGTGTTAGATTTTTTAAAAAAGGCGTGTGAGGAGAAACAGCATAATATCTATAACTTTAAATTTGTTTATTTCTTAGAGCTAGTAGGAACTGCAGATGCTGGAAAATCTGAGATAACAAGGTGTAGAGCTGGATGAACACAATAGGCCAAGCAGCATCACAGGAGCAGGAAGGCTGACGTAAGGATCTAGGCCTGAAACGTCAGCCTTCCTGCTCCTATGATGCTGCTTGGCCTGCTGTGTTCATCTATTTCTTAGAGCAGCTGCTGTGTATTTCTAGCATCTTTTGATTATTTTTGTTTCACACTTCAAGCGTGAAGGTAGTTTTCTCTCTTTGTTTATACCAACCACAAACAGCCTCGACCTTTTTTTCTGCAATGCAGCACTGAAGATGTGTCCCATGCAGAAGATTGTTCTTACAAACATGTAGGCTCACGTCGAACAATAAATCCTTAGGAAGTGAAATTTGCTGAGCTATTGAACTTCCTTTTATGTGGTTAGTTAATTGTGTAATTTTGATTTGTTGGTGTTGAATGCTATTTGGTGTTTGGTTGTTTGCAATGATAAAGATGTGCCTGATCGTGCTCTGCTCTCCATTCTCATTGAGTGAAATGTTGTCCACTACTGTGCCCATCTACCAGGAAAGGAGCCATTTTGTGATATTTATATGACAATCTGTAGTCTGAACAATCTGAACGATATGGAATGAATATGTCAGTCTTTCCCAAGTTCTGTACTGGTCTGAAACCATTTTAATGCCTTTGACTTCATGTGGCTCTGGGTGGAAATTTGGGGGTTAAAAGTTGAGTGCGATGAGTTTCTGGGGACAGAGAGAGATCCTTTAGTGAGCCATGAGGGAGAGGAAGGAAGGCCTCCATTGTAGCAACAGATGTGGAAGGCCCCGTCTTCCCTCTTTAACCTCCTCATCTTCCCTTCCTTTGATCCCCTCATCAAAATTCAGTTTGTCCAGAAACAGAGCGGACGCCTGTCCTTTCAAAGGCTTAATGCGGCAGCGAATGTGGTGTGTGGTGAATTCGGCAGTGCCCGCCAATCAGAGATAAACATGCACTTACTTAAAGGGCTCCTGCAACTGTCAGAACTCAGCCTGGAGCTGGTGACCCCAAAATCTCTTCTAGTCCCACAGTATGGGAAGCCCTGAAATGCATCATGTAGGATATTCTCAGAAGATGTCCTATTTGCTGTTAATGCAGAAAATCATTTTCCTAGCTGGCGTTTACATGATTGTGAATATGAGCACTGTCAGTATTATTGTTGAACTTTCTTATTTGTACTTTGAATTGAAAAGTCAATGTGTTTGAAATGGATGGATTTGCATCTTTTGTTCATTTAGGTGTACGTTCTCATGAGGATATACTGCTTGTTGAAAGGAAATCAAGAGTACTTATTGAGGCAGGCTTTTAAAGTTACCTGTTTGTTTTAATGTTGTTGTTAGAGCCTTGCTATCTGTGAAGCTGTGTTTACAGTGGTGTTCTCTGGAGGGCGTGTCTTTAAGCTCATCCACATTATTGGTGGGAATGTGGAGTGGCAGTAGTGAGGGCAGTGAACACACAGAGTCACACATGTGGAACTGGAAATAGAACAACATTTGCCTAGTCATTCAGTTGTTCTGCTCATCGAAAGTGTATTAGATGGAAACACCCAGACCTGGTGGGTGAGATCGCAAGTCACATATTGAAGCAAAGCTTGTAGTCAATGGTGAAGGGATGACATCCACTGCTGACCCTCAAATTACCCACAGACTTAGTAGGCTTTATATTGTGGATTTTCCCCTGTTCTGACATGAGTTTCAATCTAGTGATGTCTGCCCAGAACCAGTTAAGTCATCACAACCAAAACCTCCACGGCAATATCGAATTCTCCTCGTCACATCTCTGATATATCAAGAAGCTGCAGTCCTTTCTACACCGTTACTGAAGTGTAATTTTCTTGCTAAGCTGTGCAAGGTGTGCAGCTATACAGCAGCCTAAAAGGCACCATATAGTTATAGTTCTGTTCTAAATGGTGGATATGTGTATTGCCCTGTAGAAACATAAAGTGCCATGCACGGTAAAGAAGGGGCCAAACAGAATCAGAGATAGTAGGAACTGCAGATGCTGGAAAATCTGAGATAACAAGGTG